TTGAGGGGATCATCTTGAATTTTCTTTTGAATTTCCTCCATCTCAATTTTTGCTCTAATGACTTGCTCACTTATATTTCCAAAGTGTCTTCTATTCAGAGACTTCAAAGCTCATTTCAACTTTTTGAGTTTAGAGTAGACAGAGTACATATGAAATCCATTGACAGGAGATTGCCAAATACTAGAGACAGTGGTTAGGAAATCATCATGTTTCGTCCACATATTAAAAAACCTGAATGGCTTTTTACTATAAGAGCAGTCTTCATAAACTGAGACTATTGCAGGGGAATGATCAGATAACCTGGGCACCATAAACTCCACATGGATAGAATTTAGTTGTTGAATACATGTGTGATTTACTAGAGCTCTGTCCAGACAACTCCAAACTCTAGTATCCTGGTCCTGTTTATTGTTCCATGTAAAGAAACACCTTATTGTTTTCAAGTGGGAGAGCTGGCAATCATCAATGAAAGAGCTGAAGTCAATTGTGTCAGCATCAGTTAATGTTGAGCCACCAAGTTTCTCTTCACTGCTTAGCATTGTATTAAAATCTCCAAATATAATCCAAGGCAGAGTGCCAATAAGATTGCTAGAGTTTCGTTAGAGGTAGAGTTCTCTTTTATTCTCTTATGGAAAAAACCACTTAGCCAATTTTATATTAACCTTTCCATAAGAGAGAGAGCTCATATATATAGAGTAAGATATGTCATGACTCATCTCATGAGTCATGTCATGAGTCATCTAAATGTAATGATTCCTTTCATGAGCCATGCAATGAATCATCTCATCAGTCATGCAAAGAGTTATGAAGAATCAAAACTATGTGCTAAAACCTTATGCCCAAACCATACCACCTTAATGACTCATCTCATGACTCATTAATCAAGGTATAATGAAGTGTATATTTTAAAAGAAAATACCACATCAATACAGTGTTTCATAAATACAGTATTGCGTAATTTTTCTAATTATTAACTAATAAGTCATCATATGACCAAAAAATCAATGAGTTGACCAAAAATCAACTGTTGACCAAATGTCAACTGTTGACCAAAAAGTCAACTGTTGACTAAAAGTTAACTTTATGAAAAAAATATTGGAATTCATTTCTTAAGCACATAGCATTCTTATTTTACCGATACATATAATCGTTTATGTGTATCCGGTAAAAATCATATATGTGTATCAATCATATGCATTTAACTCTATATATTATATTTCATAGGATTCAAGTACGCGCTTTGTGTGACTGTAGGGCCCAACTTAAGAATCGGCAGTGGATCATATCCACAAGTACAACAGAGGTGCTAGCTACACATGAAGACTACCCGGGTATAAGTTGTGATAAATATCTGTAAGATGCTTACATAATTTTATCAAGACCACTCAGTAAATATATTGTACAGTCCGGTCTCTTCGTTAAACAATGTCAAACTATCGAGCTGATAATCATATTTTATTACAATTTTATACCATCATTATCTATTTTATATGAATAAATATGCCATTAATAATTGTTTTTATCTTTAATTGCAGGTTAGTGAAGAATAAAGCCCAAGATCTCTTATCTCAACAAAAACCCATGAATTAAATGAAGAACACAAGCAAGAGTTAAAAAAGCCCAAGCCCAAAATCAAGCCGAGTAGCCTGTAGAAGCCGGAGAAAATAAAAAAATTAAATATGAAAAAAAATGTATTCAAGATAGTTGGCCACAAAGAAACAATGATATCTCCCAATCCGGGAGACGGAATTTAACATATAATATATGAAAATCACCTATCTCGACGAGATGAAGCCAACCGTGAAGTCAGAATTCTTATTAGAGCATCGATGCGGGCATCGATGCAGGCATCGATGCGGGCATCGATGCCTGTATCGATGCGAAGTCATCCAGATTTCATCTACGGCCGAAATTGTATTCTTGGGGCTCAAGTTTGATCCAAGGGCTCTCATTCACTGATGTTTACTATAAATAAGGGTTGAGAGTGAGGGGTTAGAGGTGTGAAAGTTTTTGTAACTCATTTTGGAGAGGAGGGCTACTCTTAATTGAGAAGGCCTTCCAAATTTATAACTTTTTGTTACAATTAATAATAATAATTTTTTTACCACTTTAAATATTTCTTCTCTTTGTTGGATGATGAAGATGGAGATGAAGAATTGTTTAGAGGTTTGCATTTCTTTTCTTTTTCTCTTTTATTTCTTTTTTATTGCTTATTAGTTTAGATTTATTTCTATGCTTATAGTTAGATTTTATTTTCTTGTTAAATAGCCAAGAGGCTAGAACCCTCTTGCCTTAGATTTATTTCATGCTTATAGAGTAGATTTATTTTCTTGCATTTAATTCTTGCAATTTATTTTGTAGTTTAGATTTTATAATTTATTTTGTAGTTAGATTTTAATTTCTTATACTATTCACCTTGAGGCTAGAACCCTCTTGGGTTTAGTTTTTCTTTTTGTTTATTTTTATTTTGTTTGATTCGCCTTTAGGCTAGAACCCTCTAGGGAATCACCATTTTCTAAGAAGTGAGTTTAACTACTTAGATATGAAACAAATATATTTTCATATACATACTCCTATGTTTCATTCTCTAATGTATTTGTGAAAATATCATATTCTTAGTTTTTGGACTTAACAATAATCATATACATATTTTATTAAGTCTACAAAATCATTGTGCAGAGTTTCAAAACATGGTTTAGCCTAAATGTCAAAATTCATATGTTTACATTTTCGTGTTTTGGATTATTTTGCAAAATGATGATATTTTTCATTTGGGAAGTCCTTTTTGGAAACCAGTCATTGTAGCATGATTAATTATCATGTCTACAATCATTCCCCAAAGTTTTACATTTTTTAGAATTTATTTGATATTTTTAAACAGGGTTTTAAAATCAGAAAAACAGTTTTCAAAATCAGATTTTCATATATCAGTTCTCGGTCGACCGCACCGGTTGACCGGACCTATGTTATTTAGTCAGTGGGCAGCAGAGAGTTTGTCGGTCGACCGATGCGGTCGACCGAGAGCTCGATTTTTCTGTCGGTCGACCACACCGGTCGACCGATGAAGTCTCTGTTTGTTTTTCTCGTTTTCGATCTGGATCGCGGTCGACCGGAAATTTCGTCGGTCAACCGATTGATTTCGTCGGTCGACCAAAAATTTTGTCGGTCGACCGCCGCTCAGTTAGGTCTGTTTCCAACGGCTATTTTTATTACCGTTGCTGGGGCTATTTTTGTTATTTGGTTTGGGGTTTTTGATTGAGGTTCTTGGAGGCTATAAATACCCCATTGATCTCAGTTCTCATCAACCTAAGAGAATGTTTTAACAAGTTTTAAACAAGTTTAAGTTTGTTTAGTTTGTTTTTGGGGTTTGCTGTTACAAAGAGGAGTTTGCGTCATCTGTTGAGGAATTCATCTTCAATATCCTTTCATCCTCTCTTCGTGTTTATAGAGAAGTTTCCTTAACTCTATTTCCTAGCATTTCTACTATTGTATTTCATATCAATCTTATTGCTAGTTCTTATTGAGTTAAGTTTTTATTGAATCTCATTGTTACACACACCCACTTGAGCTTATTGTATTTACATACATAGTATATTAGGGTTGTGAGAGATTGTAACATTGAGTTGTGCTTAATTGAGTTCTCATCTATTGTAGAGAATAAATTTATATTTGTTACATTGTGAGTATTGTAAGGTTTTCGGTGAGCTAGAAAACCGAGTGTGTTGTGAAGTTTTCGGTGAACTAGAAAACCGCGTGTGAGGAGTAGACGTTGATCGGTGATCGTTGAAAACCGACACAGTGTGGTTGTAAACGTTATTCGGGTGAGCGTAGAAAACCCGGTTGTGGTAGTGGATTTCTCCCCGGGAGTGGGGAGCGGAGACGTAGGACGGAAGGTCCGAACTCCGTGATCATATCTTGTGTTTGAGTGTGCTTTGGCATTTATTTATACTTGTGTTTATATTTCTTGTCGCCATTGTCATTAGCTCATTATTTATATGATCCACTATCTAGTTCATGTTGTTTATCCCTTGTGTTAGTTTTATATCCTTGCATATATATATATTTCATCATATAGGATATATCTTATTGTTCACTTTGCTTATCCTAGCTCATATATCTTATTGTATTTCATACCTGCTAGGATAACTTGTTAATTAATTTTAATTGACATATAATCGGATTAGATTAGCATAAGACCCTAATCACCCCCCCCTCTAGGGTCTAACATTTAATTCTTGCAATTTATTCTGTAGTTTAGATTTTGCAATTTATTTTGTAGTTAGATTTTAATTTCTTGCACTATTCACCTTGAGGGTAGATCCACTACAACAGAAAAGCTAATCCGCGGGGAACAAGTTTGTCGTTGAAAGTCAAGATTTCCTCGTCGTAGTGTGTTGGTGAGGAAAAAACTTTGGTCACCATTTCCTCGCGGTAGGGTGGTCAAGAAAAGTTTTTGCGAGGAATATTATAATTTCTCACAAAATCTTTTTTGCGATGAATATATTCTTTTCTCGTTGTTACTCTTTAGCCTTGATATTTTTCCTCACCTAATCTCATACCTTTTTCATCTCTAAACTATAATTTCCTCGCTAATGACACGTGAATAATATTTAATTTATATATAATAAAAATTCTAAAAAAAACTATTTTCGTCGTTGCAAGTATCTTTCAGCGAGGAAACTGTTCCTCACCAAAAGTAAATCTTTAACGAGGAAATTAATTTTCTTCACCAAAGGGAGGAATATTACTTTTGTCGTTGTAGGTTGTACCGCTATAGCGAGGAAATATGTTTTTGACGACGTAAGTTATATACTCTATAGCGAGGATATATATTTTGACGATGTAAGTATGTAACCTATTGTGAGGAAACATATTTTAATCACCTTAAGTTATATTGTCTATTTCGAGGAAATTTAATTTCATCGACCTAAATATATAGCGAGGAAACTTATAATGAGAAAATTTTATTTCATCAATAATAATGCTATTTCGAGAAAAATGCTCAAAATATAAATAATTGTCATCAATAGTCACCACAGTACATCAAAACAATTAAAATAAATAAGCAAGGAAGTTTCTACCATAAGTAACAATACTAATCTAAAGCAATAACAAATGCAACACGATCAAATAAACATTTCTCCAAGTTTAAATTCACTAAAAATACTAAGCTGATGGATGTTGCCTGGAAAAATTAGCCATAAACTCCTCAAACTTTTTGGCTTGCTCCTCCAATCTTTGGATTACCTTATTTTGTGCATCGATCTTTTGTTGTTGAGTTCCTACAAGTTGTTGGGTCTCTTGAAACTGTTCTTGTAACTCTTTATTCTTTTCAGACATTTCACTCATTGAAGAACGAGAGAACCTTAATGGTGGTGGTCTAGGGCCAAAACCACAGCCCTTAATATAGCCTGATTTGACTTTGAGAACTTTTGCACAAATTTCCTCATCTGTCATTGTTCGAGTTCCATCAGGTTGAGTGGTATCTGCTCGTATCTTTATCATTTGATCCTATAAGTAAAAAATATATATTCAGTTCAATGATATGCAAGTTCTCAATTACAACCTAATCAATATAATCCTCTTTAGAACAATAATATCAGTTTTACCTATATTCTTAAAATAATATAAAAGCATGCATCATTGACACGTTACTTACTCATTTTTCCCTTGCTCCCAAGTCCCATCTTTTTTTGTGCTTCTATACTCTTTTTCAAAACGATCAACTGCACCTTGCATCTCTCCAGTCTGTGCTGCCTATTGCATTCAAACATATTTTCTTTTTCAGCATACACACACACACACAATTAAGTTACAAATTTATAAGCAAAACTAAAAAGTGTCTTACAATTTGCTCTTGGTGTGACATAAATGATTTTGACGCAGCTTTGTGGTGATATGTCAACTTTGACCTATTACGAACATTCTTCTTTGAGTGAATCTAAATTATTAAGACATACAGTTAGAAAGAAGTAAATGAAAAAATAAAAAATGTTATGCGTGGAGAAAAATAAAAAAAAAGATATCATACCTTAAACTTTTCACTAGAAAAATGAGTGCAAAGAAACTCACATTCTTCCTGAGTCTTGACAGCTTCATGTTTGTTTTCAATTGCCTCCTTAATTATTGAAAATTGATCAAAATGTTTCTTCAACTTATTTGATTTCGTCCCGAACTTTCCATAGCCTTGGCAACATGTACTTTAAGCAAGAAATCATAATTTTGATGCCAACCTTGATCAGCCCTTCCTGAAAGAGTATCTCAATAACTTCCTTCAAAATTGGCAGCAGACCAGAATGATGTACACCAATCCCATGTTTCAACAAGGGTAGCATATTTGAAACCTGTGATAAGTATAGATAGCACAAATTTTTACATCAGCAAACAAATGAAATCAAAATACTAAAGCAAAGATAATAAAAGCATGAGTTTTTACCCAGCTACGAACAGGAAATTAATAACATAAACTATGTAACAGAATAGAGGCCTCAGTTAGGAGAAGATACAGTAAAAAACAATAAACATTGTCAAAAGCTACTATCAAATTTTCATTCAGCCAAGTAGATTGAACCTTGCTTTTTCCCTTCTGAAGCTGCACAATCTCACTTTTATCTTTAAAGAAAAAAATGGAATCCGCTACAGTATAGATTTTATTTCACAATTACAGTGTAAAAAAAACTGAATTTAGAAATTTTCTTATAAGAAAGGATCTCCAATAACTAAAACAAACTCAGTAGAATATGGTTCTCTGACATCCTAACAATATTTGTCAAGTGACCACCAAGCATAATTTAAGCGGTTTCATCAAGTAATATTAGTCCAACTGGTATGATGTATCTCATCATTCTGCAAGCCACCCTGCCCCCCACCTAAGTAACTCCAAGCATAATAATGAATTCTTATCAAGGGAAATGTACCAGTAAAAGAAAAGGGTATGTTCATAGGAACAGATCGTAAAGCAACAAGAACTTAATAAAAAATGTTTAATTTCACATAATTCCCCTGAACTTGGGGGGTGTTTCACATAATCCCAATGAACTTTGTTTATCACACATAAGCTTCCCAACCTTCGGGGTGTCTTAAAACCCCCTGAACTTTTGCCTTTTCTAAATGGACTCCCCTGCCTATACTTTACAAATAACCAAAATGTTTTTCAGAGAAAAAAAAATCCCACATTTTGTCATTTACCAGCGAAAATCTTTCCAATTTTTTGGGTATTTTGCACACAAGATAATATTGTACCCGTGCAAATTTTGTCATTATTATTTACAACAACATACCCCCTTTCCAAAATTTTGAGTTTTTCCTCGCAAGAAGATTTTATTTCGTTGCAAATTACATGTAGGGGCGTCCAGAGAGAAAAGTTTAAAGTTCAAGAGGGTCTTTGTGAGACAACCCAAAGTTCAGGGCCATTATGTGAGATAAACAAAGTTCACAATGATTATAGGGTTATGTAAAAAAGCCCTCAAAGTTCAGTGACCCCCCCCCCAAAAAAAAAGGTCTCTCTTTCTTTTTTTGGGGGGGGGGGGGGGGGGGGGTTT